GAGCAATAGCTGCATCCTGAGGATAAAACTCCTGCTTAACAAACCAGGCAAGGAGACCTGTGGGCGAGGGTGTACACAGGTGATAAAGTGCCAAATTTGTGCTTGTAACTCAGCAGGGATTTCCCCTGTCTTTGGGGCTGCTACACTTCAAAGTCAACTCCCAAGGCAGCAGAGAATGAGCTCCAAATGGAATTGTTCTTCCCAAAGAGTCTGGGAAGATCTTAGAGCCCCTTCCAGTCTTTAAATGGAAAGGGAGTAGGTTTAGTTTGGATACTGGGAAGAAATTCTTCCCTGTGAGGGTGGGGAGGCCCTGACACAGGTTGCCCAGAGAAGCTGTGGCTGCCCCATCCCTGGAAGTGTCCAAGGTCAGGTGAGACAGGGTTTGGAGCAACCTGGGCTAGTGGAAGGTGTCCCTGCCCATGGCAGGGGGTGGAATGAGATGAATCTTTAAAGTCCTTTCCAACCCAAACCAGTCTGTGACTATTTGTTTGAAGAGGGTCCCAGACCCATCTTTGCACCTGCAGCATTTGCTGCCATCCAACAACTCAGGTGTCTCAGCTCCCCACTCTTCCCAGGTCCCACCATTCCCCAGACATATCCAAGGCAACCACACAAACAAATAGTAAAACCAGGAATCACCATGGTGATACCTCACTTGAGCAGATTTTACATCACTACCTCCCCCAAGGTCCACCTGACCTGTCCCCCCTTCCCTTCATCCCCCCTTGTAGGGCCAAAAAGCCCCTGACCCTCAACCTGCTCCTGTGAGAGCATTCCCAGCTTGTTGCTCCCTGCAGTTTTCCCAAGTGTAGAATTCCATGTTTACACAGTGATTGGCACCCACCCACCACCACTTTGGGAAGGGTATCCTGAGCCTCCAGATCCAGAGGGAGAGCACAGAGAGAGTAGGTCAAAAAATCTGGACATAAGACAGAAAGTAATTGTTAAAAAAATTAATGGTAAATTTGCTTTACCTCTACAGTAAAAACAAAAACAAAAAAATCCCTCAGACTGAAGTTTCCTGGAAAGCACGCCCACAGATTTATTTCTGAGGCACAGACAAAAACTCAGATTACCTAAAACACATCTATAAATGGCACTTCCCACTGATGCCTCTGCATTAATGGCATATTCCACAGCAGTGCTTTCTGCTGCTCAGCATCTGCTGCCACGCTTTGTCTCATCCTAAAGATTATCTCTGTAACTCAAAGCAGGTGTGAGAACACAGACTCTGAGCCTCTGCCCCTGGAGCCAGGCTGCAGGACAGACAGGCAGATGTTGACTCAGAGGGACAGACAGCATCAGCACCAGATCACATCTTCAGTGTCAGGAGGAAAGCAAGCAGGCACACACTGCCCAGGGTGACGGGGACATCTATGTGTCATTGAGGGTCTGGGCCTCTGGGACAGTGGCAAAAAAAAAATAAAAAATAAAAGAAGGGGGAAAAAAAGCTGCTTCAGAATTCAAGCTGTGATCTGCTGTGCTTTACTCGACAAGGTGGTGTTTGGTCAAAGGTTGAACTTGGAGGTCTTTTCCAGCCTTAATGGTTCTGTCATTCTGTGCTGAACAGCCCATCCAGTGCAGCTGCTGCAGCTGAACACAGAGAAGTGGAACTCAAATGAGCTTCCTGGGTGCTCCCAGGAGGGTAAATCAGGCTCTCACCTCCACCCCTGTGTCACCCAGAGGTGGGAGATCAGAGCAGGAGCCACATTACTGAGTCACCCCCCTCAGTTCTGATATCAGTACAAGCCCTGCAGTGCTACCATCTGACTGCAGGTAACCACGAGACAGAAACCTGCCAGTTAGGTTTGCTCTGTATTTCAAAAAGGAATGAACCTGAAAAGTCCATCTCCAAACCATAATGGGCAGGGACAGCACTCCTTTAAAATAAGGATGCACATCCCCTTTCCAGGCCCTGCTGATTTGTCCTAGGGTAAATGTTATTCCCTATTACAGACTATGTAAGCATTAGGAGCAACAATAAGACAGCTTTGTTTATTAAACTTGCCATTAAAAAGAGGTTTTATGTGTGAGGGTCCAGCATGAGAGGCCAGAGCCAGCAATGCCAGCAGGTGAGTCCTCACTGCTGTCCCTCTTTGTGCACAAAAATCAACAACAACTCAGCAGGTTTTGCCTTAGATCTACCCCTGAAGACAAGAGATGATTCCTCCAATCCCCAAATTACTGCCCAGTAGCTTTGGAGGGAGCTGACAAATTCAGCTCCCACATCCAGCACAGCTCAGCCCTGCAGGAGGAGATTCCAGGAGCAGCCTCCAAACACCACCTTGAAGGGAATGGTCAGCAAAGGGTTTTCCTCCTGACCCTGTTCCCGTGGAAGAACAACACATTACCTCAGCCAAATGCCTCTGCTGCAGCCCCTGGCCAGGGCATGTCCCACAGCTGGGTGCTTTTAAGTTACAAATTCCCATTCCAGTCTGGCAATACATTGACAGCATAATCCAGGTTTTTACAGTGGAAATCAGATCTGCCATCAATTCCAGACTTATAAAGTCATATTTCTTCTTGTAAAACAGTATCAACACTTTTGATTGGCAAAGCATTTAAAAAAAACACTTTTAACTGGCTGGATCAAGATTATTTTTTTAGCTCATTTAGGTGACTGGGGAAGAGCCAAGGAGACAAGCAACAGATGGTAACGGGATACTTCACAATTTCCAGCATTTTTATTTTAAAGGGCACACCATGTATTCTTGTTACACTTTGCCACTAAAGGAAACTGCTGCATCCAAAAATTTTCACCCAGAAACCTGATTCGATTTTACAGGGATTTGTAAAAGCAGAGACAGATTCCAACTTTGTCTGTGGGTTAGATTTTTGCGTGACATCATCTGTTAAAATATGGGAAAATCTGAGTTGGAAGGGCTGTGTTTGGAGGCAGCTCAGATCATGTTGCCTTTGACATTGCTATTTCCCTATTTTTCTGGAAATCCTCTCTGCAAGGTGTCCTCCCCCTTTCTTTGGGACCACACAATGGATTACAGGGAAGATTCCCCTCCCTGTACTGAGAAACCAACTCTAATGAAATGGAAACAAGCTGAGCTGAAATAAAACCAAAGAGAAGTTGAAAAAAAATAATTTAAAAAAAGCCATAAAGAGCATTAGTCAATGCCATCAGCAGTCCCGGTCTGACTCCACCCTCATCCAAATTATTTGATGTCCTATTAGGCGGCTCATTAGGAAAACTCAAAGCCTTTCACCACGAGAGTCATTACTCTGCACAGTGGCCCCACAAAAGCTTCCAGCCATTCCTCTGCTCCCCCAGCTGCACCCAGAAGTCTGAAAAAGTTACCTGGTAACTTTGCAAAGGAGTCGGGGTTTATATTGGAGCTGTCTGGAGGATATACACGGACAGAGAAATGCCTAAGGATGCTCTGAAACCGTTACAGCATCGGCAAAGGCAACAGTGAAAGGAAAAGCTTGGGGTTTTACCCTTTGAAATAGACAAAACTGGAAATAATTCCATTTTCAGCCGATACAAAATAAAGACACAATAACCGAGGGGCCCGATGAGCTGGCGGGACAAGAGGGAGCTCCAGAGGAGCTGATGTCACTCCAGCGCTCTGCTGGTCTGAAAACTGCTTTAACAGCAGCACAAATTCTGTGGCAGCTCCCACCACCCTGAACTTTTCCCTGCAGGGATGTTCTAGAGACTTTATTCATTGACCAGCAACTGCTTTTCCATCTCGCTCAGCCTTCACAAGCAAACCATTAATGAAAGCATTCCTCCTACGCCCAACCTTTTCTCCCTTAATGTCATTTTAAGAACCCAGAAATGACAGTAATTCACAATCACGCTGCTTTGCACACAGAATCCCACTGCTAAGAACAGAATCCCACGGGCGTTTGTCCTGGTAACACTCAAGCAACCCTGCAAACACCCCTGCCAGGGCTTCCCAGGGAAAAATACCCGGAGCACACAAAAATCAGGCAGGAAAGCTGAATCAAAAGCTGAATCCCAGACAGCTCAGCATTTCGGGGCATTTCTCAGTTTCTCATGTTTAGCTTTTCAGATTTCAAAAAAAATCAACTTTGCCAACAAACCGCTCCTCAGTCATTCCCTTGGAATCCAATATAAACAGAGCTCAGAGCGCCGATGCCTCCAAGTGTCCACTACAAACTCAGGGAACGCTCTGCAAACACACGGAAAACTTTTCCAGCAGCCCCACAAGCCCCCAGCTGCCCTGCTCCGGCATTTCCCAGCCCACCCGGGGGGATAGGCAGACATTTGGGAAGCAGAGCTCTGGAAACAACGCTCCACAACCCCAAAGGGAAATAGGAGCGTTTAAAGTCCCCCTTCTGCACGATGAGGAAAAGAAATGACATTCCAGGGGTTTTCTGTGCTGTTGCACATCTGGAACTTCAGAACTTCCTCCCGCCACATTCAACAGCCCCAATTTTAGGGGAAAACCCCGTGGATTGGGGCTGGTGAGGGGGTAGCGGAGCTTTGGGGTCCCGAGCGGTTCCAAAGCTTTTGTGTCCCGAGCTCTGGCGCTTTGATGTGCGGAGGGAGAGCAGATTCCAGCGGGACAAAAACTTTCTTCTCCTCAAGGAGGAGGAACTACGCAAGCCCAGAGCTTTCGAGTCGACTAAATATACATTCACATACATATCCACGTAGATATGTAAAGAACCAGAGCCTCCAGAAACTCGTCCTGACTTTTCCTCCAGAAAAAGCAGCCCGGCAACAGGCAGCTCTGCTCCAAGAAAGGCGAATAAAGTATTGTTTTAAGTTTTTTCCCCCTTTTACGGGCCCCCTGACAAATGGCATTCAGAGACTAGGGCAGCTAAAGGAGGTTGGGTGGGTTTTGTCGGGGTTTCTTTTTTCTTCTTTCTTTTTTGCCGGAACGCATCGGGGAAGGAAAGACAAGGCACAAAAGCCCCCTCGCCCACTCCGCGACCCCGCAGGACACCCCCGCCCCCCCTCCACGACCCCGCAGGACCCTCCGCCCGGGGTTGGGGGGCTCGGGGACCCCCCTTACCTGCCCGGCCGAGGGACAGGGCAGCCAGCAGCACCAGGGCAGCGGGCACCGAGCAGCTCCGTATCCAACTGCGCCTTTTCCACCGCGTGTGCGTATCCATGGTCCACAAAAAACGGGGCACCAGCTCGGGACAACCCGGGGCGGGGGAAAGGGCGAAAAAAAATAAAAATATATATATACACGAGCGAAGGAGAGGCGCTCAGAGACCCCCCCCGCCAGCCCCCCCCGGGGAGCAGCCGCTTTATAAAGCCATGGGGCGGGCGGAGGGCTGCGGGGGCTCCGCCGCGCTCGCTCCGGCCCTGCCTGCTCCTGCAGCGGAAAAACTTTTCCTTCTCTCTCTCTCTCTTCCCCCCACCCCTCTTTTTTTTTTTTTTTCCTTTCCTCCTCTCTCTCTCTCTCTCCCTTCTTTTAAACCCAATTGTCAATCTCGGAGCCGAGCAGCAAATCAGGGCCCGGGCGGAGCATCCCCCCCATCCCACCCCCGGGGCCGGCCCGGCCCGGCCCCCCCGCCCGCCCCCCGCCCGCCCCGGCCCCGCGGCAACTTCGAACGAGCCGGCCACGGGATGTCCCGGCCCCCCAAAAAGAGTTTGCCTCCCTTTTCCCCTCGCTGGGGTAGCACCAGATGGAGTTTTCCTTCTCTTCCCACCCCCTACCCCCTCCCAGCTCTTCCCGATCCCGAGGGAAGAGGAGACAGGGAAGCGGAGGGGTGACAGCGATTTCCTCGCTGTGAGCAGCGATAAGACCCCGGGGGAATGGCTGGAGCTGTATCAGGTTGGATATCAGGAAAAGTTTCTTCATCCAGAGGGTGGTCAGGCACTGGAACAGCTCCCCAGGGCAGTGGGCACAGCCCCAAACCCACCCCAAACCTCCTCCTCTAGGAGCCTTTGGAAAATGCTCTCAGGGACAGGGGGGATTGTTGGAGTGTCCTGTGCAGGGCCAGGAGCTGGATTCAATGATCCTTGTGGTTCCCTTCCTACTCAGAATTTAGCAGTTCTGAGACGAGGCCTAGAGGCTTGTGGAAGCATGGGAAAGGCAAGGATTCAGGAAAAAAGTGCATGCAATAGTGCAAGCAGGAAGGAGTGGAAAGGGAAGGTGCATCACTTGAGTGCTGGGTGGCAAAACCCACCCCTGGCAGGCCAGAAAGGGGGCTGGCAAGGAATGGAGAGCTGGGCCCCCTCTGCACACCTGGCTGGTCCTGAGTCCAGCCCCAGCACTGCTCTGCCCCAGTCCCTGTGTCACTCAGCCCCAATTCCCCTGTGACAACTGGTGAACCCCAACTTCAAATGGTTGCTCTTGTCCTGGTATTGTATGGCAGCAGTATTAGAATGGCACTGAGGGTTGGAGCCAGGTGGTCTTTAAGGTCCTTTCCAACTCAAGCCTGTCTATTATTCTACAGAAAAAAGCAAAAGCTGACACGACTCCCCTACACCAACCCCTTCCCTCAGGTGCCAGGAGAGGAGGATGGATATCACACTGGTGGTCCCCACTGCTGAAGACCCCTCAAAATCAAAATCAGGTTATCAAAAGACCAGAGAAGGAAAAACAACAAAATCCAGCCCTGTCCCTTAACTCAAATGCTTGAAAGACACTTGCTGGCATCAACACTTGCTTTGTCAGTGCCACTGAAGTCCTGACCATCATTCCTGGCACATATCCAGGTGGCAGTCCCAGCTCCTTGGGTGGTTGAGCTGTACTGATTTTTCATGGAGCAGTGATTTCACCTCTAGATTCACACCCTGAGCCACACCAAAGCATCCCAGTCCTCCCCAGTGCTTGCCCAGCATCATCCTTAAGGCCTTCGTCATCCACAGGGGAAAAAAAATGTTGTCATGACTTGAATTCCCAAACTCTGCCTCCCCTGGACTCCGGTTTCCTTGTCTGTGGGTTTGGTCACTCAGCACAGCACGAGCCTGAGCAGTCACCAGGCATCTGGGACACACAAGGAGGGCAATAAGGAGTTAGGGATCACTCATCCTGTCCCTGATTTGGGCTGTCTGGTGGAAGAACACGGCACCAGAGGGGTTTTTGTTGAGCTTCAGCCATTCACTCGCCATAAACCTTTGCCCTGATGGATTATTGTTATCAAACACATCAAAACCTACAAGCAGAGGAGGTCAAACCCCCCAGACCAAGCCAAGGGAAAGGGTCCTCCCAGCCCACTCAGTTTGTAGCCTGGTAATGGAGTTTCCTAATGGTTCAATGGAGAAGAGCTGCAGGAAATCCCTCCCTTTACCTCCAAAGCTGTTGAGATACCTGCCCCCTCCTCCCAGCCTCCCTGTGAAACTGGAAAGGCTGGAGCATGAGCCACACACAGGAAGAGATTCTCTGCTGAAAGAGCCTTTCAGCAGGCAGAGGTGAAAGGCAGATTGGCTGCAAGCCCCCGAGCTGGGAGGAGGAACACAGCATGTGCTGCCTGCAGCCACGTGTAGCCTGGGTACTGTGCCAGTGGCACTCCTGGGCACATCTCTCAGATGAAAACCCCTTCCAGGTCTTGCCTTTCATGAGTAACCAGATGACTGGAGGCTGGTGAGACAAATTACCTGATGTTCCATGTGCAGGAGGAGCCTGGGGGCAAACTCTCCCAGTTCCACAGCCGTGCACCCCTGCAACCACCTCTGCTGAGCACCCACTGGGTGCAGCCTGACAGTGACAACATCCATCAATGCTGCACCTCCCTCCTGCTTTAAAATATCCCTCTGCTCTCAGCTGGTCCTTCCCACAGGCCCCCAGTGCCTCTGGTGTGGAGCAGAGAAGCTGTTCCTCGGCTCCCAACACACCGTGACAGATCCTTTCTCTCCCTTCCATGTACAGACCATGAAGTATCCCAGGCATATGGACATGGAGCCAGGACAACTGAAAACACCATCAGACCCTATGGGTTGCAAATACCCTCCCCTTGTCCCCTACCCACAGCAGCAGGGTCAGAACTACATGATCTTTATGGTTCCTTCCAACCCAAATCACTCTATGATTTTATGATTCCCAGTAACCTCTTCTTATTATGACACCAAATGACCTGATCCACAGTATTTCTCTGGATGTCTGATCACCCTTGAGAGGCACTGCCAGATGTGGGGAATCATTTCAGCCCCAGGTACACAAATGCCAGGATCCTGGGTCTGCTCACCCCAGACTGGCATTTCTGGCCACACAAACAGCCCATTGTTTTGGAATGAGACCCCACTTTGTCTTCTCCAGCAGCAAGTGAAAATCCCACTGACACCTGAACACTGCAAGTGTTGACATTCCTTGCCCTTCCAGAGGCATACAGCTACAGGAAGGGGAATAGCTACAGAGAGGGGAATACCTAAAGCACCAAAAGCACTGCAGACAAGGAAATAAAAGCAGCTCAGAGCAGTGCACTCACACACCACCCATTTTTCAAGGGCCCTCAACTCCAGAATATCCAAACCTGGACCCACATCAGATGCAAAGCAACTCAACCAAGTGAGAACCTGGCCCAGGGAGCTTTTGCTGTGCAGCAAGTCTGAGTTTCCAGTTGCTTTCCAGGTGATTTCAAAGCTTGCACAGACCTGTTTGCCCCTCCTCGACAACAACAGAGAAATAAAGAAATAAGCTTGTAATGGCAAACTGGAAAATTCCAGCATCCACGTGCCAAGTGTAAAGAGCCAAGCTCTGGGTTGGAGGGGGCCAGATCATCTGGTGGTGTGAGCTCCAAGGAAGGTTTATGAGAGCTGGGATGGTTCACTCCAACTCCAAATCGCTCCATCCCACTAGAGGTAACATCAGACCAGCCAAAGGAACACACTGCAGCAGTGGCAGGTGGCCAAACATCTTTAAGGAACAGCAGTTTATACAAGTATTTTCATGGCTAAATGCATCTTGAGCCCAGCTGCCCGTTGTTTGTGGGATGGAGGACACGTTTGTGAGCTTTCCAAAAAAAAAAAAAAAAAGCTTAAGAAATATAGGTAAATTTTTTTGAAAGTAATTTATGTTCTATGAAATCATCACCAGCATTCAGCCAAAAAACCCCAAAAGGCCATTCTTCTGTAGTTTGAAAGTATTGGGAGAATCAAAAAAGTCTGTAATTGATAACACTCTATGGCCAGGTGATGAGAACAGACTGAAAATGAGATATTAGAATTACCTGAGCTGTTGTAGAAATAATATATATATATATGTATAAATTATATATATATATATATATATAAATAAATAATGCTCTCGGGGATGATTACAAATAGTATTTATGAAGAGCACACATATAAAACAGACAATTTTTCCCCTCACAATCTTAGTGTTTGCCTTTACTCTTTGCAAACATATAAACACTGTTGCAGCCCTACCCTGAACTCAATTTTTATCAACTGTCCCCTGCTGAAGTGAGATCCTACATCACAATCCTGACTTAGGATCTCACACCTGCTGCCCTGGAAATGATTGCTCCCAAATTCAGCTTAAAAAAAAAAATTAAATTGAGAATTTAATGCTACTGAGACATTTTGGATCAAGAGGCTTGAAAAATAAAGCTATTCATTTATCCACAGAGGAAGTTTCACATCTGGTATCCCAGAGCTGAACACTGTCCCAAACTCAGAGCTCTGTGTGGTCTTTAATTTGAGCAAAGTGTTTACTGCACTATCCAGGACTGTTCATATCCATTCCCACTGCAGAGTGGCAGCAACTTCCCCAGTGCCCTAAAACCTTTCTGAAAACACTGTTCTGAACAGAGGCCATCACAAATCTGCATTTGCAGATGGTGGTGGGCAACACATCAACACTTCCAGTGGAATATTTCAAGCTATCAGGTGATAACCACACAGAGGAGATACTTTATCCTTTAATTAGAATCCAGGCTGGGTGGTGATATGACAAACAGATTCAACAGGTACCTCCCAAACAGGAAAAACACATTGTAAAACTCTTTCTGGAGTTAAATTTTTCCCCCAGAAAGACAAATTAGGGATCACAGAAGCAAAATTCCCTCCCCTCCTGTGGATAAGCACCTGTTTTGGCTTTGCAGGCCAGTTTCTTTACAAAACAGCTCCAGTGCTGGGAGCTGGGCAGCCAATTCTCCCAGACCCCAGTGGAAATTCAAATCTGATTTTTGCCATGAGGTGGCACCAGGACAAGCCCCATCAGTGGAAAGAGCAGCCAACACAAGGTGGGGCTTGTTTTTTTGTATTTTTTAAATGTTTCACAGTCAGAGAGGTCTGTTTAATAGAGGAAATAGCATTATAAAGAGAACAGACTTTCCACTCCTCCCCTTTTTCCAGTGTTGTTGCCTTCTCTTCAGCTTTGTGTTAATGAGTCCAAGCCTTCTATGTGTTTGAAACATCCCAATCTATTAAAGGCAGAAG